GCTTATAAAACAGGCAGTGTCCTCACCCACCTCAGCCGCGTATTTGAAGTGCATCTTGAAGCGGGCCTTGAGGTAGATTCCGATGTCGTGCAGTACGGGGTTGCCTGAGGGTTTGGGAGGAGGGGGGTTTGAGGGGGAAGACGAACCACGTGAACGAGTGTGAAGGTGATGCCAAGGAGGAAAGACTGATGCTCCACAGAAGTAGGAGGAAGGGGGGAAGGGCGGCGCGGCGCGGCACAGATGAGCAGAAACAGCACAGCAATGGCAATGGCAATGGCAGCATCAGCTTCGACGTTCTGACTGTAGCTAGCGACCAACTACCCCCCCGGGGGGGCCCCCGAGCAGTGGTGGCACATGTTCTGCACCCAATAGCAAGTGAAACTCAAAAACACGAAAACGAAAACCGTCCAGGCGACTTCTCCACCCCGACCAAAACCCCCCGGGGCTCCCCAAGCCACTAGCCCACGTGATGCGCAGCTGTACAGCAGCGTCCGTACAGGTCCGCACCGGTTTACATCCGTACCCAACCGCCGTACACACACTCACCCAGGAGATCCTTCGTCTGCGGCGTGTGGGCGCTGATGAGGTCCTGTCCCGCACCTTCCGCCACACACACCACCGCATGGCCCTGAGGGGGAGCGGGGGGGGGAAAGTAGTCGTAATAGTACGGCGGGGGGGGGATTATGAACTCACGAACGCAGGAAAGGAGCACTGCCACCGTCGGAAGGAACCCATGGGGGGGAAGAGACCCGCCTTTCCAGGGGTGAGGGGTGAGGAGGAGATCCCCGGTATGAAATCCGCGAATGCAAAGGACGTTATCCTGGCATACGGTGGGGCGGGGAGGTGGATTGTGTGGTGAGGGACTGTGTGGTGGGGCGGGGTGGTGGGGGACTGTGTGGTGGGGCGGGGTGGTGGGGGACTGTGTGCGGGCCGGATCCGCACCTTGCGCTGCAGTACCATCCCAAGGTAGGCGAGCAGCCCGTGGGGGCCGTCCATGGTGAAGGAGACCTGCGACGTCGGGAGACGAGGGGGGCCCCCTCAGGGGGGAGGGGGGAGGGGGGAAAGGAGGAGCAACGCGGTGAGGTTGGGGGGTAGGGACGAACCACGTGAACGAGTGAAGCTGCTGCCTAGGAAAGAGTGTACAAGAAGCAGAACTGACCAAAAGGCGTTCTTGGGGGGTAACGGGGGTGGGACACACCGTCCATACCCACCTTCGCTATCCAGCACTTCCACCACCACCTAGGAAAAGAGCGACGGAGAAGATATTGAATATATTCCCACATGCATGCATGCATGCTGAGCAGTACTGCACATCGTCAGGTCCAGGTATAAACACTTGTGAGAAGAGGATGATACCCCTCCATCCCCCCCCTCTCGCATGTATTTTCCCCCCATACACACACATACATACACCACCACCATCACCGCCACCTTACCTCTGGGATAAGACAAACGTCCACCACTCCACTTGCCAGGGAGGCCTGCGGGGCAGTGGGGGGTCAGACGGAGGTGTGGGGTTGGGGGGGGTAAATCTAGTTAGGATATGTAGAGGAGGTCCCCACCAACAACAAACAAAGAGCCGCTGCTGCTGCTGCTGCTGCTGCTGCTGTAACTGTTGTCACCACCACCACCATCACCTAAACCACGGGCACCTATCACCACTTGAGGATCCAATTCCCAATTCAAATCCGAATCCTAACAAAGCCGGAGGATACGGGAGTGCAAACCCTGAGTGTGGCTGTGTGGCCATATGGCCCAGCGGCGGGGGCGGCGGCCACCCCCTCTCCTTGCCCCACCCTCCCACCTGCATGGCCAGGAAACCCGAGTGCCGGCCCATCACCTTGACCAGCCCGATCCCGCCCCGGATGCTGCTGGCCTCCACCTGCGGCGGCGGCGGCCGGGGAGGGGGGAAGACGAACCACACGCGATTGAGGGGAGGGGGGGAGGGGGTTAAGGCAAAGAGCCGCAATGGCGGCAAATCATATGCTGGAAGGAAACAAGGAATGAACTCCGGGCGCCCCATGTTCGTGGGGGTTGTGTTGGGTGGGGAGGGAGCAAGCAGGGGCAAGGGAGCGGAATGGGGGGAGGTTACACCGCTACGACCGCGACACCTACGAGGACACCAGCAGCAGCAGTGGCAGTAGAAGTGACAGTAGCAGGAGCAGTGGCAGGAGCAGTGGCAGTAGCAGCAGCAGTGGCAGTAGCAGTGGCAGTAGCAATGGCAGTAGCAGCAGCAGTGGCAGTAGCAGCAGTACTCGGTAAACGATCCCAATCACGTAAGGGGCCCCATGGACAGAGTAAAGGTACCACACCTACAGACCGACATACGGACACATACACATACATACAAGCAGACAGTTAAACGCACGTCACCACCTTTGCCGCCAGCAGCGGTCGCTGCACCTCCTGCACCGCGGTCTCGAATCCGAACGTCCGGTCCACCAGCAGGATGTCGTTCTCAATGGACTTGGGCACTCCCACCACACAGCAGGGCAGCTCGCGGGCCCGACATTGCTCCGAAATCAGCTGAGGGCGCTCGTGCAGCGGCAGCAGCAGCAGGAGGGGCAGCAGCAGCAGTGGAGGGAATAGGGGCAGGCAGGGACTGTGAGAGAGAGGCACTAAGGCACAGGGCCCCCAGGCCAATGCCCTAAGGCCGTGGCTCGGCCAATGCCCTAAGGCCGTGGCTCGGCCAATGCCCTAAGGCCGTGGCTCGGCCAATGCCCTAAGGCCGTGGCTCGGCCAATGCCCTAAGGCCGTGGCTCGGCCAATGCCCTAAGGCCGTGGCTCGGCTAATGCCCTAAGGCCGTGGCTCGGCCAATGCCCTAAGGCCGTGGCTCGGCCAATGCCCTAAGGCCGTGGCTCGGCCAATGCCCTAAGGCCGTGGCTCGGCTAATGCCCTAAGGCCGTGGCTCGGCTAATGCCCTAAGGCCGTGGCTCGGCTAATGCCCTAAGGCCGTGGCTCGGCTAATGCCCTAAGGCCGTGGCTCGGCCAATGCCCTAAGGCCGTGGCTCGGCCAATGCCCTAAGTGTTAGCGGACCACTCAGGCGCGGTTGAGCCACGCCCCTAGGCCGCCGGCGCTGTGGCCCCCCGGGCCCCCGGCAGCAGCAGTGCGGACCGGGGTGTAGATCTACCAGACGTAGAACTGGCCAAAAGGCGTTCTTGAAGGCGGCGACCCTCCGGGGGGGGGGGGGTTTGGAAAGGGGGGTAAAAGGTGCCTCTGCCACTCTCATGCGGGAGAGCCACGCCCTTCATACGTACCCATAGCCCCCACCGCTATCAGCACGACCCAGCCGCAGCCGCAGCACACCGTACACCCTACACCGCGCACCTGCGCCGCCCGGAGGCCCCCGTCTCCCCCCACGACGAACAAGGCGTTGATGTCCCACATCGCAATCTTGGCCACCACCGCGTCAATGTCCGCCCAGCCCCTGGAGCAGCCGTACAATCCCGTACACATGCCGTGGCGGGTTGTTAGCAATCACAACGGTATCCATCTGTTGTTTCTTAAGCACTTCCTGCTGGAGGGTAATCTGTAGGCCATGGACTTCAATGAGCTGCTTATTCACCCGGGACATACATACATACATACATAACCAGGAACTAAGTTGATGCGCCGTTGATCCGCTAGATTTGGTTGGATGCTGGTGGTGAGTTGCCGAACCCAACGAATACATTCTGAAGTCGGATGGTGTGACGGATTAGGGTGCCCCTCTAGCAGGGGAGAGCAGGGACTGCCCCGGGAAAGGGGGCCGCTGGCGAAGTTAACCACCCTGTAACAACATACATACATAACGGCAACGAGTTACCACATGGGCACCTGGTAGGCCCGCACGCACACGTACGTGCACACACATCGTTTTTTCCTTTCATCCCCCTCCCGCCCGGGGCGGCCCTCCCCCCCCCGCCCGGGGCAGTCCCCCAGCCCCCACTTTGATGTCCCCAGCAGCGAGCCCCCTCGAAGGTGCGCTCCCTCCACCGCGTGGCGGCTGAGGGGCCGCGGCTTGGCGGGGTGCCGCGGGTCGAAGCCCTTGAAGCCGTCACAGATCCCCAGCACCTGCCCCTCGGGAACCCCGTAGTCGGTCAGCCGGTGCACGATGGCCTACAGCGATGGGTGGGGTGGGGTGGGGTGGGGGGGGGTGAGGGGGAGAGGGAAAGACGAACCACACACGAGTGAAGCTGCTGCCAGTGCAAGAGAGTATCAAACGTAGAACTGACCGAAAGGCGTCCGTGGCGAAGTGAAGATGAAGTCATAAAACCTACCTACCTAAGCCGCCAAGACTAAAACAAGACACTGAGGGCAGGCTCACATACGAGTCCAGCCGGGGGGGAGGCAGCATGATTGACCTTGTGCTTGCGTCCCCTTCTTTGTACCCGTGCGTGCGTTCCTTCCGTGTCCTGCCGCAGCAATCTTTTTACCGTGAAGAACGCCGCTTGAGTGATCATAACCCCGTGTCCCTTCACCTCGCGTCGGTTTGGAGGCCGGACCGGCCACCCACGCGTAAACCCAAGCCGACGTTTCTTGTCTCTGAGGCGCACAGGTACACAGACATGTTCTACAACCCGGAGGCCCCCCCTGTGGTTGGTGTCCGGGCGGTTGTGGATTCCCTGCGTGCTGGCCAGATTGGTGTCACCCAGGCGGTGGACACTATCGAACGGATTTTGCTGGGTTGCTTCGGTGATGCCTTCAGGCCCGGGCCGGTTTCTAATGGCAAGGCGGCGTGGTGGAATGATGAGTGTGCTGCGGCTAAGCAGGCCATGCTGCAGTATCGGTCTGATGTGATGAAGTGGGGGTGTGCTGCCCCGGCCGTGGGGCATACGAGTTTTCAAGAGTTACGTCGTCAGTTTAATCGTGCTAAGCGTAACGCGCGACGGGATCACCGGCTGCGAGCCTTGGAGTCATTCATAGCTACATGCAAACGTGATGCGAAGACCCTATGGCAACGTCTGAACGGTAAGCCAGCGTCCAGATGCAATGTGGAAGACGTGTCGGAGTGGACGGACTACTTCGATCGCCTTTATAATGCCTCAGCCTCCTTCGATGAGGTGCAGGAGGCCCGTGTCTGTGCCATTCTCAACTGTATCAATCTCGGTGCGGGCTCCCAAGTCGGGGCGGCGTGGCGTGATTCCGAACCGGTGCATGCTAGACGGTCTATGGCCGACACTATGAATGGTCCGTTCACTCTTGAAGAGGTTGAGGCGGCTTTGTCGTCCCTGTCTAATGGGCGTTCCCCGGGTCTGGGTATGGTTCCGGCCGAGTGCTACAAGTATGCCAAGCGAATCCCTCGTGAAGGTGATGAGGACAGGGTGTCTGTCAATGTTATTGCCCCTGCGATTCGAGACCTTTTCCAGCACATTTGGGATACAGGGGATGTGCCTGACCAGTTTTGCGTGGCGTCTCTCAGTCCGTTATTTAAGAAAGGCGACCCCAGGGTCAAGGATAACTACAGGGGTCTAGCTGTGGGATGCGCCATTGCCAAATGCTATGCCACGGTTCTCGACAGGCGGCTGGCAGCTTTCGGGGATAAAGATGGTGTCCGGTGCCGTTTTCAGGCTGGGTCCCGTCAAAAGCGCAGTACAGTTCATCAGTTGTTCGTTGTTCGTCATCTTAAAAGTCGTTATGAGCGGCCCGGCAGCAATCAGGCCCTGTATGCGTGTCAGGTGGATTTTGAGAAAGCCTTTGATAGAGTGCCCCGGGCGAGCCTGTGGCAGCGTCTTGAGGAGAGGGGTGTGCATGGACCCATGTTGGCGGCCCTTAAAGCCAGCTACGAACGTGTTCTCCAGCGGGTCAAGGTTAACGGTCGCCTAGGGTCCATCTTTGCCTCTCTGCAGGGCGTGAAGCAGGGGTGTCCCATGAGTCCCAATTTGTTCGGGTTCTTCATTGAGGTTATTGCCGACTACCTTGAAGCGAGGGATGGTATGGACGAATGGTTCAACACACGTGCACACGAATGTCCTGTCATTAATGATCGTCGGTTGCCTCTGTTGTTCTATGCAGACGACCTTACTCTGTTCGCGACCTCGTTGGCACGCCTCCAGTTCTCGCTTAAGCTGCTTATTGAGTTCTGTGCTGCTTTTGGTATGCGCTGCAACGTTCGGAAATGTGAGGCCCTTGTTGTGGCTGCTTCCGTTGATGTCGTTAAGAGGGCGTTTGAGGGGGTGAGGCTCATGCTTCCTCTCCGTACTGATGGTTCGCTTTGGCACCCACCCATGGTTGGTAGTTTACTTGTTCCTAGTCCTATTAACTGGTGTGGTCGCGTTAGGTACTTGGGTCTCTATTGGGGCCCTGCGTCCCCGTTTGCGAGTTGTGTCAACGAACTTTTGGAAGCAGGGCGACGGGCTATGTTCGGTCTTAGTAATCGGTTGGATGAGAACAGGGTGTGGGCTCCTGCCGTTCGGCTTCAAGCGTTCGACACCCAGGTCCGTTCGGTTCTCTGTTATGGTGCTGAGGTCTGGGGTCCTGATAGGATTGTCTCCGTCCTGCGGTTAGGTAAAGGTGTTTTACCCGCTGGTAAGTCATATTTTGATTTGGCTTTGGAAGATGGTATGGTCCAGGTCCAGCGTGACTTCTGTTTACGTTGTGCTGGGCTCAAGCAGGTACCTTACAAGCTGTTGTACAGGGAGCTGTCTCAGTTGCCTTTGCAGTACTTTTGGTTACGCCTTGCGTTGTGTTTCTGGAATAAGATAGTCAAGTCCCGTGGGTCGGTCTATCATGACGTGTTAGTAGATGATCTCCGTCTGGCTCTTCTGTCTGATCTCAAAGTGGATTGCTGGTCGTCTAAAGTGCTCATCATTTTGCGTTGGCTGGGCCATGAGTGGCCGGCGTGTGACTCCGTTTCTCAGAAGGTAGATGTATACTCGTCTCAGTTGATTCGAGTGGGTGAGGTTCTGGAGAGATTATCTGCGTTCCTTTTAAGTGACTGGGATCAGTTCAGCCAAGGGGGTGATCCGCGTGTGTTCCAAGGTAAAGGGGTTTCGCTTTGCAGGTATCATAACTGGATGGGCTCCCTTTCACCAGCAAGAGAGGGCTCCGATCCCACAGGCTATTTGCGTGTTTATTTGCCGGTCAACCAGTTGCGTATGGTTGCCAAATTCCGTCTTTGTTGTTGGCCTTTGGAGGTCAACAAAGGACACCATAGGCCGAGAGAGTGCCGTACGTGTCAGGTCTGTACGTCGGGTAAGGTTGAGGATGAATATCATGTGCTTATGGAGTGTGAGGCGTATACTGAGTTGCGTAATAGGTTTCTGATTAACGTTGAAGATACTGATATGCGCAAGGTATTTCTTAATACCAATCCGAGGAAAATCGCTACTTTCCTTACTGAGGTTTTTGATGAGCGTCAACAGCGTGCTCTGGAGCCTCACGGCTCGTGAGGGCACCCGCCGCGTCGGCGGCGGAAATACTGTAACCACAATACAATACAATAAAATAAGCGCAGAAGAAAAGCAGTAATGCCAAGCCGTAAAGAAGTAAAGGAGGGGTAGCAGCGTGTAGGTGTGTATGTATGTGTGGGTTTTGACTAGGAGGGGTAGCAGCGTGTAGGTGTGTATGTATGTGCGGGTTTTGACTAGGAGGGGTAGCAGCGTGTAGGTGTTTATGTACGTGTGAGGTTTTGCGTGGGGTGTGTATGTATGTGGGTATGTGGGCAGGTATGCAATCGGGGTAAAACCCTCCTCAGCCAGGGCCCGCGTGGGCCCTGCGCCCTGCCGTACCTGTACTACATCGTTGACTCCCGGGCAGATGTGACCACACGTGACTACGGCCGCACTGACCCGCGCCGGGTCGAAGTAGATGCGCTTTCGGGGCCCAGCTCGCATGGCCCAGGAGGGGAGACTGACACATACACGGTCAGCCAGCGTGCTGACCTGGGGGTGGTGGAGGTGTACGGGGTAGGTGTTTAGGGGTGTTTAGGTGTACTACGGGCAGCACACTTGTGTGGCGGCGCGTATGTATGTGCATGTTAGCAAGGGCCTGCGCTCGGTAGCTGCTAGCATTGCATTGGATTGTACTACACTGCAGTGCTGTGCTGCGGTGTGCTGACGCCAGTCAATCAGCGTGGGGTGTCCTTCCGCTCCTCCTCCCCCGCATTATATTTATATAAGAAGTGCAAAGGGAAGTGTAATCCCATATCCGGACTTGCAGGGTGTGTTTAAAATGAAGACCCACGTTATGCAACTGTCGGTTCATTGGGAGCGTCGCGGCGAAGCCGCCACCGAGCTTGCCCTTATCCCCGCCGCCGCTGCCGCTTGCTGCCGCCGCCGCCGCCGCCGCCGCCGCCGCCCTGACCGGGTGCTCTGCGGGCACTCTGGCGGCCATCGCGGAGATACCTTGCTGCGACGGCGGCCTGGATGGCGGCAACGCAGCCCCGGAATACGTGTACGGCAGCCTGACGCCCTGCTGCCCGTCGCCGACTCGGGTGGGCGCGCCTGTCGATCCCCAACGGCCGCCGTCCCCCCCAGCGCCATTATTACCTCCGCCGTTGTCTTCCGGAACCACCGCGGGTACCGCCCTCGTGACGGGCCAGGCCAGGATGCGGCTCGTGGCTTCGTCAGGGCCGTCCAGGATGCCGGAGTCGGGCAGGTCGACGCACATGTCGGTGGCGCCTGATGGAGGGTGCGGCATCAGGCGGATGGATGGCGGTGGATGACTGGAATCGTGCAAAGGTGGAAGCTTTTAGGGAGGTAGGTCAGGCCGCGCATTTTGAGGATGAAAGGGGATTACAGCATTTTTTTGTTTTTGAGGTGCGCGCGACGCGATGCTGTGGGGGATCGCTGAACAAAGGGACGCGAAGCGATGTTGTTCTTATTACCGACGGGACTCTTCTTGCATATGGCGTGGCGTTTCGTTGGATGGCTTTCAACAACAAAACGCTTTAGCAAACTCCACAAAGTTTGGGATAGTTGGCAGGTTATGAGTATCTGCTATAGCTGCAGCGAAAGCTGATTGCAGAGCTGAAAGCATCTTACCGGATGAAGCCACCGAGGACAAGCGCATAGTGTTGAGCGCAATTCGGTCCTCGTCGTCCACAAAGCCGCCCCCAAAGTTATCATGTGGCAGAAGAGGACTATCACGCGGAACTAGAAGGTCTCGGATATCCGGGCACATAACAACGTCTGCAGGTTCAGTTGTCGGGCTCGCGACTGGAATGTGGAAAGAAACCAGCGCTAGCTCCTCCTCGGGACCGAAAATATAACCCGGTTGCGGTAAAAAGTCAGCTGCAGTTTGGGACGGGTCGTTTGGACTGACGGGCACCCGGACGGAGCTCCGCCCTGGCTGAAGCTTTGGGAGGAGGACCGTCGGCCGAGGACATCGAGACAGCGCTGTTGTCGGTAACGCTGCTGTCACTTCTGCTGGCTGGTGTCTAAACCGCCGGCTAAACGCCTGAAGATCGCGAGCCGCGATTCCGTGGGACATGAGCAAAGACTTGGTGAACCTTGGGACGCAAACGCTACAAGCGTTGCGTGAGATCTGTAAGCTGTCTAATTTTGGTAGAATTTTGTGTACGAAATACTGTCGGAATAATAACCTTTAGGTCTGCTGTTATTGATAAAAGCAAACACCGGGCTCCCTCAAACCCGCGTGGTTTCGGAGATCTTTCTCGCGTTCACGTTTACAGGCATAGCAGAACCGCCGTTTCAAACAGGAAGGCCAAATATTAATAATGACAACAACAAAAAAAACATGTAATAGGGAAGCTCTGACACATATCCTCCATCGATTTCCTCTTGAATGCAGTCCGACAAGGTAACGCCGGTTTCTGTTACCGTGTGGGACGCACCGCGTCACCGATTGCTTGGTTTGCATGGAGAATTATGCAATTAGTGTTACTGCGGGTGCTGCTGCTGGTGCTGCGATCTGCTCAGACTTATCTCTACCCAGTGGACACGCAGACACACACCATAGACACGCAAGCGCAGAGCCAACGTTCACTTCTAGCCGGCTTTCGGAGCCAGCTAGCAGCTACATCAAACGTCCGCTTCCCTCCGGCAAGGCCCTTCGCACTCCACTGCACAGGCAAACGGGGTCACACCCCGTGAGGGGCAACACACACACGCATACGGTATATGCATGAAGCGAGGGGGCGGCAAACAGCTTCCGAAACCAAACCTCCCCAAACCCACTTTACACAAATCGCAAACACCCCGGGTGGTGGCCACGTTGCCGCCGACTATCGCAGAAACACCACAGGGCACACGCGCCCATACGCCCGGGCCCATAGTCGTCGTGCCGCAGCAATCAAACGGCAAAATTCGCATAATAAGTAGACTTCCCGCCTTTCCTTTTTGTGGAACTCAAACACCCTTTAAGAACAAGTACCACCGGGGCTCCCGACGGCCTCCTGACCGAGCTCCAAGGGAAGGAAGCTGGGCGAGCTGCACCACACCACACCACGCCACACCACACCACACCACACCACACCACACCACACCACACCACACCACACCACACCACACCACACCACACCACACCACACCACACCACACACACAGCACAGGTCGTCCGAGGTAAACAACGAACGACAAAGGCCCCCAACGAGCCGAGCAGGGGGTCTGGTCTGCAGCCGCACTGTTGCTGCATCTCCAAATTGCAGGCAGACAAGCAGTATCACTGCAAGTGCAAGCGTTGCAGGAGCAGGAGCAGCAATCTAGCGCTCATGTGCCAGACGAACCCAGCATCTGAGAGCCTTTTGCGGGATACATAGCGGTTGCGGAGCGGCGGCGCGGCCTTCCGCGTGCCTTTACCATTACAACTAGCAGCCGCACTACCACCACAATAACAACGTCAACAATGACACAACAGCTAAAGAACGAGAATGGCAAGATTGGATGACGAACTAGGTCAACTTAGGGTGGCACGTGGATCCATTATTTCTCTTGCAGTAATAACAACAACAACAAATTTTCCCTTTAGGTGAGGGGGGCATTTTTCCCTCTTTGACTACAGAAGCGGAAGAAGGCCTATGCTGCAAAGCAACAAAGGAAGCGATTCCTTGGCAGAGAGCAGACAGACTCACAGACAGACTCACAGATAGCTGCTAGCGCGTCCGCAAGCACCGGCACATTCACATGCCACGCCTCCTACCAACGGGCTCCACCAACACCTCCAACTCCAGGGGCTGGCTCACCCACCAACAGCAGTAGCACCCACCAAAGGCGGCACAAGCACTTGGCACGCCAGGAACGATACTGCTCTACACGTCCGCTTGCAACTCCCTTACCGCTGAATCACCCAAAAGCCCCAAAGCCCAACTAAAGACCACATTACCCATGAACACGAAGACGAAGACGAACAAGCCGCGCCAGGTAACATGCTTTACCGGCCCAGCTCTGTACATGCTGTACATGCTGTACATGCTGTACATGCTGTACATGCTGTACATATTGTACATGATGTACATGATGTACATGCTGTACATGCTTTTCCATGCATGCATTGGGGTGCGGCTATGAATGATGAAAAGGCCCATGTGTATGAGATGGGTATTGGCAACGAACGGTGCCCCGAATCATGATGGATTTTGAGGGGGGGGTGTCCCGGCCCGGAGGCGAAGGGCCGGAGCCCCTGGAGCAGGATGCAGTTGCGGTGCTGCTGCCGCTGCGCCGCTGTCGAATTGGGGTGGGACACAATCGCGTGAACGTTTTGGGGGCCAGCTTCAGCTTTAACCTCAGCCAGGTGCGGCCTCCAGACCACTAGCAACAGCTGCTGTTGCAGCTGCCTCCCCACCTTCCTCCATCTCCTCCTCTTTCTCCTCCACCTCCACCTCCACCTCCACCTCCACCTCCACCTCCTCCACCTCCACCACCTCCACCTCCTAGTCCGCCACCAGCATGACACACTCCATGTGAAGCCACAAATACCAGACACAGACAGACATACATACGCGCGGACCGACTGTGGCGGAATTCGGACTTTGTGTTAGGCTTTAAGCAGCGAGGTAAACAGACGAAAGCATATAGAGACTCACAAGTTTCTAGACACGCGGACAGGTGCAAATACATATTTAGGCACATGAACAGATGTAGCATAGGCAGACATACATACAAACTGACAGGCGCTTGACAAACACACACCGACAGGTAGCCGAACAGACAGACAGACAGACAGACAGACGAAACTGGACGCGCCATCAGCATGCCATCCATCTCGTCCCCCCTCAGCCTTGACAACACATCCCATCCCACAGAAAAGAGCTGAAGATAGTCGGCTCCGACTTCCACAGCCCTCCGGCCATGAAGCAGCAGAAACAGAGCCACATCGCTGCGGCAGAGCTATAATCAATACCGCCGCTATGACCAAGGTTAGCATTGTCATCGCAATCATGAAAATCATCGTGTTTTAATCCAACCATAATCGTAACTCGCCAACCCTGCACTTTGTATACGACATCTCCAGCCAGCCGCTATGCACAAGATGTAACCAGCATGGGGCTGTCCCCCCCCGCCAGACCTCCCGTTGACGTAGGGAGCCCACGGCTGCTGCTAGTGTTATGTACGACGTAACCCGTATGTACGGGGTACGGCACGATAAACCACACCAGCCACAGCAGTCTTACCGCATGCTTCACCTCGTAGCTCCACACACACTCACCCCTCAGTCCGCATCTCTAAAACAGCGCATATGCAGCCAACACAAAACACATCTCCGAGACAACAACTCTGCCGCTGCAACTGGCAGCGACTCAAGTTAAAATTTTAGACCATTGGGGAAGATATAATCCTCAAGTATTACGGTTCGTAGTAACAGAAGAGCATGTTTATACTAATAACAGCTCACGCCACATAAACAGAGTTTATAACGCCCATGCGGAGCGATTTGCGGGCATCCTAAATAGGCACAAGGTTGAGGCAGT